AAAACATCCGAGATCAAATGAGACATCCAAGATAATATCATTGTGCTCATCATGATCCGGCTAATTGGGTTCTTCGAACACTCCTGCCGGTTATGATTAGTATAGCTGGATTGAGTTATGTGAGATAATTGCGCGTTCATGGGTTAAAAGGGGATATGTATCGATAGTATAAACATTGATCAGCAACGCTGCTATTGGCTGTTCGCCATGGCCAAAGAGCGCGCTCAGCTTTTTTCTCCACTGAAGAGCAAGCGTTATTGCTTGAAGGATAAGCTGAATTTGAAAATTTAACTAAAACGCAGGAAACACCTTAAAGTGTGCAAAAGCCAGGAGAGAGAGCCAGTAAAAAGTAGCAGAAAAATTAAGTTAGCAGTTGTTTTATCACTTAGGCTATTACAGTGTCCACAAGTTTCCGAGGGGCGCTCCTGTAAAAAATAAAGTGGGTGCAACTTCCGGTGAGGCGGCGGAAGTAGCATTCCAATGGTATTTTGTGTGTTAGTTAGCGAAGAGGCTAGCTGTTTTTCTGAGAATTATTTTACTATTTAAAGACGCAAATCTTTATTAGAGATGTCGTTACGGAGCTCAGGGACAAAATGTGCTGTTCGCGGTTGTATGTATAACCGGACTAAACTAATTTAAACGTGATTGTTTTGAACATAAGCTGAAAACGAAATCAGAGTGATCCTGCCAGAGCCCGTCTCTGATCCTGCCAACGACTGTAGTTTCCATCACCTCCCAAAAGACGACGAATCTTCCAGTGTACATTTGTTTAAATTCTTAATATTCTTTAAACTTTTATCAGCATGTGTTTGGCTGTTCTCTACTGATGTTACACCTAAACTCAGGATCCTGTGTTGACAGAATACCAAATGTGCCAGTTAATGTATTCAAGCAGCACATTCATTTATAATTTTAAATAAACTCCAAAGCACAATGCCTAAGTGTGTATTTTTTATTTTAATTGTTTGTCAGCTCACACAACTGTCTGTCACCATGCCTTGATGAGTATTGATTATTAATAATGTTATTATAATACTCCCAATCAACTACTGCGGAGGGTAAAGGTACTGTTATTTCACCCTTTTTAATTTCGTTGAGGTTGTGTTCCCACATCGTTAGCTAGTTTGGATCGTTATAACTTGAATGACTGTCAACTGTTGAATGAACGAGTGTCAAGCATGTCAAATCGTGCTTTGTTTACTTCAAACCGGAAGTCGCGCCCACTTTTGACGCAAAGCCTCATGGGGCGTAGGAAACTTGTGGATATATTTTTATATTTTATTTATATTTTAATAATTTCTAAATAATTAATAACTTTTTTCATTTTAATGTCAGTCACACCCACTGCTAGAACATAGGAACAAGTAAAAGTGAAGTACTGGAATATTCTACATAATAGTAATTTGTACTAACTATTAATCCATTTTCACTGTTAATAAACGTTTGCCTGTTTATAAAAGCAAGAAAAAGGCTGAGAGAAAAGGAAAAGAAAACAAACAGGTGGTGGTCCTGCACCCCCACATTATCCAGGCAGAAGAGCTGGCCCTTGTGTTAAATGTGAACCTTGTGGAGGGCATCCTTGTATTCAGCTCTTCCTCAGACCCACAGCACCTTCACTGCTGGTAAATGAACTTTAAATGATCCTAGTACACTATAAAACAATTTGTTGCTGCATTAAATTAGGTAGGCCTATAATCCAAATGGCTGTCCAGTCATATCAGCTGTTAAATCTTGAGTAGTAATGAATTGCTTTGACATGCTTTGATTGCTTTGAAACTACATAATCTAATTAATTAACTACATTAATGTAAAAAAAAAAATGTTGCCATGAGTTATTGATCACATTTCCCCCAGTGTACTTCATTGTATCACACTAACACTTTTATGTGTTCCCAAGCAAGTGACTGATGCATTTGCAATAAGTGGACTTTTTCTGTTACATCAAAAGGGAAGAACGTACAACACTTTGTAATGCCCATTTCCCCCCAATGCACAGTGAAAAAAACCCTCTCAGGTATCTTTAAGTGCATAAATAGCTTTACTTAATTTACACTTGAATACCTATTATTTCCGAGTGCAATATGAGTTGCAGGAGTCCACATCTACAGAAGAGTCTGCACAAAGCAGTGATGCAGAGGTGGGCAGTGTTGTACTTTTCCTTTTAATTTTTGATGCATTAGCCATGTGTTGACTGGTTTACCCCTACCCCTAGAAAACAGAGTATTTTGAAAATACTTCACAACTTAAAGAAAAAAACTAGCACTAGAGATAGAGTTGCTTCATAGGAACTTCAGAATAAGTGCTAATATATTATTTCACACAGAGTACAATAATATTTGCAGGCAAAATATGCCATCACTGGCTTTTCTTTACAAAGAATAATTAAAATAAAACTCAAAGAACTAAGCATATTTGTCTTGTCTTTTATTAAACATTAATGAAATGTTTTATATTTTTTCTGATGGTGCAATGTTGTGTAATATGGCCCATGCAATGTCACAAAACCTGTCAGGTGCAACCCTCAGACTAAAGTTCACTTCATTGTGTGCCCTTGTCCTGGCTAAAACGGCATTGTAACTGGTCAGGGAATGGGGTCATAAAACACCTATCTCCAGGCAGGATCCTGCTGTAATCACCTGTATAATGGAAAAATTCAGTTCTGTTAGGATAAGCATAAGTGTATGTAATACAGTGAGTTTGATATATTTTTCCTTACCACGTTCAAATAATGTGAATAAATCTCGGAAAATTCTTGAATCACGCACAGATGCTGGCCATATTTGTGATATGGAACATAGTCACACACCATCTAAGAGATTAGTCAGTCAACTGCCTTTATAAAATTTGATATAATCTTACTAATCTGGATAAGGATCGCAATAGTAACTTGCATGCACTGTTATTAAAACCCATGTTAAAATCCGACTCCGAGTCGAACATTTATGCGTTTCCAACAAATTAATGATGTAAACGCCATCCTCACGAGTCATGAGAAAAATGCTATCTCTCAAAAAGTAGCCAACAGAAGTAGCCTAAAGACTTCCCGTTTCACCTTCGTTTAAAAAAGCCTCAATCTAATCCTGTTAACCTGAAATAAGCCTGCTCGCGAGCAGGTTCAAGCTAGCGCACCTTTTGCTATGACAGGATGAGCGTCGAAGAATGATCCAAGATCATGCCAAATTGCCAACAATCAAATCCAGATAACCGAGTTAGCGACGTACGAAGTACGGGCCCCAGAGAGACAAATTGATTAACTTCAAGGCTAAGTTGCAACAACAGTGACCTCAACTGATGCCCTGGGGCAGTATGATTTGGTCTCCCAAGCAGGGGGCAAAATCCAAATAACCAAACATGAAAAACTAAACACGAACAAGCTCGAAAACAGACCTCAAAGGTGGTGACATATAACAATGACTCCATAACACATACCAGCCCATTCTCACCCCCAAGGTGTCACTTAACTGACCCCTTGGGAAGCATTTGGACATGCTTCAATATCTGACGCTTTAGGCGCCCTTTAGCGTCAGTAAGATGACGCCCTAGGATCGCGTGTACCCTACCCCCACCCCACACCTAAACCTAACCACGTCCTCTAACTGATGCTTTCCTTTAGCGTCAGTTAGATGACGCCGTAGGATCGCGTCATGTGACGCTAAAGGGCGCCTAAAACGTCAAATATTGAAGCATGGTCAAAGGTGACGCCTTGGGGTGAGAATGCGTTGCACATACTGACACAGACAGGGAATATATACACACAGATCTAACAAAGAACTAACAAGGAACAGCTGGGCACACAGCCCATTCTCACCCCCAAGGCGTCACCTAACTGACGCCTTGGGAAGCATTTGACCATGCTTCAATATCTGACGCTTTAGGCGCCCTTTAGCGTCAGTTAGATGACGCCCTAGGATCGCGTGTACCCTACCCCCACCCCACACCTACACCTAACCGCGTCCTCTAACTGACGCTTTCCTTTAGCGTCAGTTAGATGACACCATAGGATCGCGTCATGTAAGTGACGCTAAAGGGCGCCTAAAACGTCAAATATTGAAGCATGGTCAAAGGTGACGCCTTGGGGTGAGAATGCGTTGGGGCACAATGATTACAGGGAACAGCTGAGTGCCATGAACAGTAGACAAGGATTGTGGGGAATGCAGCTCATGAAAGAATGACACCATTGGGAAGAGGACCTCTAGTGGATACCCAGGGAAACACAAACCAGACAATGTGACTCAATGAACATCATGCCCCATTCTGTCGACCACTAATGTTCAAAAGGCTGCTCTAAGAGCATGATTAGTGCTGATACAGAGACCTGAACCATAAACCAATAGTCAAGAATTGTCATGTCCATTGGAGTACCATAATTTGCATCAATCAATGATGTACACTTAGTGTCATATTTCAGTTAGATCCTAATCAGACATGTGACACCAATATACTGTATGTCTTTCTAATAAACTCTAAAACATTTTTATAAAAAAAATTCTAAAATTCTATAAAAAAAATTATATCACACCCTTAAAAAAATCATATATGAAGTGATGTGTGGCTAACTTAACCAATAATAATGTGCATGCTATTGTATTGCCTGTGATGGCTCTCCAATCACATGGCAGTTGCTTCAATACATTTAGGGGTGTGGTCCTGGTCAAGACAATCTCCTGAACTCCAAACTGAATGTCAGAATGGGAAAGAATGGTTTTAAGTGTGGCATGGTTGTTGGTGCCAGACGGGCCGGTCTGAGTATTCAACAATCTGCTCAGTTACTGGGATTTTTACGCACAATCATTTCTAGGGTTTACAAAGAATGGTGTGAAAAGGGAAAAACATCCAGTGTGCGGCAGTCCTGTGGGCGAAAATGCCTTGTTGATGCTAGAGGTCAGAGGAGAATGGGCCGACTGATTCAAGCTGATGGAAGAGTAACTTTGACTGAAATAACTCGTGAAATCAGAAAGTGAAATAAAAAAAAGAACATGGCCTGTTTTGTCAGTCGTTTATTCAAAGAATATTTGCAATGTTTGGAATTAGAAGATACAAATGATACATCAGATCTTTCGCAACAGTTTGCAGCAACTTTTACTGTACACAGATCATCCTGTAATATTCTGCTTCTAGCAACGCCACACATTTACTGTTCATAAATCAATTGTTTTCCCCACATGCGCATCCATATACACAAAATATACGATTTTATTTTATAAACATGTAAAAAGATTGTGCAAAATTGTATATATGACAAATCCCATCAAGGCTATACAATTCAACCTCAGAAATGATTCCAAAAACAATATTTATCATATTTATAAATAGTCATGCATAAACAATTTTTATCATGCATTTTCCATTTATTGTTTTTCTTTAAATAATGCTTGAGTTTATGCTTCTTTTCTGATTGTGGATACAAAAACAACAAAATGTACTTTAGAAACCAATGAATACATTTACTGAAAGTTGATGACACTGGTATGTCAAGTCATCTGTGGAGAGTTCCAGTAAGCAATAGACATATAAAGAACACAATGTAAAAAATGAGGAAAAGCACTAAACAAATAAGAGTTTGACATTTTACTTCTCACACAGATGTGGTTAAAAAATTTAACCGGTTTCACAGCATATAAGCTCATCTACTGAAATACGTGAAGAAATCTGAGATTTAACGATAACAAAGGATTGATTTCTCAAAAATTCAATGGGCGAATCATCATGGTGGTGGCACGTAAAGAGTAGTTGGGGCCTTTAAAGTAGTGCCACTTGATGCCATCAACTTTGCCAGAATTTTGCCCAGAGGTGTAGTACACACCGTTGAGGTTTGATGGGCCACAGGCATCAAACCACCAGCCTTCAAAAGAACAGAGAAATTAGAGACAGGTCATGTTGGGATGGGCAGAATCATACTGAACTTATCTCTAGTCTACAATAATTCACATTATGTCTTCTTACAAGTTAAACCTGCTTGGCAGGGTTGCTACTTTTAGGGTTTAGAACACTTCAAATAACTTAGACAGAGCCTTATGTTTCTATCTGCAAGAAAAGGTCTATATTCTAATTTATCTTTTTTTAGCATGATCATGAATGTACGTGTAACGGAGGCCAGCTAGTAGTTGCTGTGCGAGTAAACCTCACTCCCCGATCTCAATAGGCGCTCTAGCGACAGACGCTAGAGGCTGCAGTCTTTAGCCTCCTTGTTAGCGCGCCTGACTCTCATGCCGGAGACCCGGGTTCGAGGCCCGCTCGGAGCGGGTCGAGTTGGACCCGGGTGTGAGGGGTTATATTGGTGCCGTGACCCGGATGAGAGTGAGGTTTAGGGGGGTGAGTGTAACGGAGGCCAGCTAGTAGTTGCTGTGCGAGTAAACCTCACTCCCCGATCTCAATAGGCGCTCTAGCGACAGACGCTAGAGGCTGCAGTCTTTAGCCTCCTTGTTAGCGCGCCTGACTCTCATGCCGGAGACCCGGGTTCGAGGCCCGCTCGGACCGGGTCGAGTTGGACCCGGGTGTGAGGGGTTACATACGTTTATAGAAGAAATAATGCCCTCAATCTAAAACATGTTTGTATATTTTACAGTGGATATAAACACTTTGCACATACAGCTGTTTCTCTGTTTGTGTGTGTCTGTGTGTGTGTGTGTGTGTGTGTGTGTGTGTGTGTGCGCGCGTGCAAACGTGTGTGGTGTAAAAACTAAAAAAAGATAAATCAAATTACAACTTTTGCACTTTTAATGTAAAAATTACAACCTATGCAATGCCACTAAAAATCTGTGACACATTTCAGAAAAAGATACAAATAAAAACTTTTAGACTTTGCACACACTTTTATATTTGGGTATGCTGGGTTCAGAATTAACTTATCATCACGCTCATGTGAAATAGTGCACATATGTCTTCACCTGAAGTGTCTCTCATTAACTGTTTTTGTAAGATTGCCAGGCGATCTCTCAGGTAAATACTACTAAAAGAGCGATTGTCCAAAGAGAGCGTGCAAAGCATCAATGGGATCTCATTGTTGAAACAAAACAAGTTGCTCAAGTGAGGGTTTAAAAAAAAAACCAAAAAAAAAAAAAAAACCAAAGCATTAGAAATACCAAGAGACACAATAAACAAAGAAAACTGGGTAGGGAGGCTGTCAAGAGGATTACAGCAACTTAATAAGGGTTGCATCTTTTTCTGGCAAGTACTGTTTTCTTTCTAAATGATCTCTACACCACTGCTATCGCGCTGCTTACCGCCTGTGAGCATGAGTGCACACTTGCAGATGCAGTTGTCGTTATCCATGTCTTTTGTGCTAAAGTCTGCCCCATTTATCACCAAACTGCTATACCTGCCAGCTGTACCACTGTAGCTCTTCAGGAATAACCTAAAAGAGAAAGACAGATGGTGAAGAAGAGAGTATAAATGTAATGGTGATTGTTTTAATAAAAACAGAACAATGGATCCAACAGCTGCGGGTTTATTTAAACAAGACAATAAAGTCCTTTATTACTGTTTCTTTCTTTATTTCTGTTTTTATTAGCTGTCAGTATCAGTTATTTGTTGTTCATGGTACCCAATGCACAGCAAACAGCACCATTGTTGAGCATGTCAAGTTAAAAACCTGTCCAGTTTATGGGTTAAACTAAAATAGTTTAGTGGAGCTCAGTCAATAGAATAGATGCTGTCTCATCTTCAAAAAGGTGGTGCTCATGCAAGGGGGTAACACATCGACTGGAAGTTGAAGCCGACCAGAAGCTGCCATCTTCACTTGCGTTAGCATTCTCATTGACTCCCATTCATTTTGGCGTCACTTTGACAACGAATAACTTTACATCAGAGGCGTTTGAAGACCCCATTTGTCCTTTATTTATTTCTAAAGAAACACGACAATGTATCAAATGCTCCATTACCTTGTAGCTTATATTATGGCCCCGTAGAAGCAGTTTTAGTGAAAGTAAGCTAACGATTGCGTCATAACCACGCGACTCTGTCGCACTGTCGCACAGTAGAGAGATTACCGTATGGACAGGAGAAGAAGCTCGCGGGCAATCGGAGAAACGTGGAGGCAAAATGACAAAATAATTAATCAGAATACCTAGCAAAATTGTCTCCTCCTCCTAGCTCATGGACAGCTCCTACTCACACTCTCCGCCTCTGCAAGTTTCGGAAGGGAATGATTCAGATTTCTCATGCCACAGCACTAGAAGACAGACGGGTTGCTCTCGTCACATCTACGAAGTCAAGCTCTGTTTGAGTCTGCGCGTCAGGGACGGAAGTGCTAAAAAATCGCCAAAAACGGGCTTCAATCGCCTCAATAGAGTTCAAATGAGATGGCTCTGTCCATTTCTTTTACTGTCTATGTGCTCATGTCATGAGCTGCTACAAAACAACAATACACAGAGATGTCTGACTGATGCAGAAAATTGTGAAAAGGTGTCTTTTGTAAACGGTCCACAACTTTTAAAAATGCATCTCGAGACACATTCCTCTGCGTTGTGTCTAGTTTTGACAGTGTATTGTGTAAACAGCACCATAAAGAGACACGAAATGTTTATAATCTCTCAAAACTGAGGATAAATAAACAACACTAAAGCTAAATTGAATGATTGAATGTTTGTTCTCTGAGATAAGGATGTGAGTTTGATCAAGCAGCACAATGTACTTGGTACGGGGTTTGAAAGGAATGGTTCACTTTGAAATTAAAGAGCACCTATCATGGATTTTTGAAAATGACTGTTCATGTGGTGTGGAATATAGCTCTAAGGGAATGAAAACATCCTGCAAAGATTTATATTTGAAAGTGCACCGGATATAAAGTTATTGTCTTTCAAAAGTGAGAGTCGACTCTGAGTCTATGAAATGAATTGTTTTTGAAACGAGTCATTAGCTGGTTCGTAGTGACGTAGATACATACTGTCCGCGCCCAGTTACTACACGCACAGACGGAAGTGTAAACTTGAAGTCTACACATTCAAATACTTCATCATAGCATCATGTCGAGAAGACGCTGTGTTCTACAATGCAAAGATAGTTCAGGCACTTTGTTTTCATTTACCAGGGACGAGCATGTGAAGAATCTGTGGTTAGAGTTCATATTTGCAACGATACCACAACAGTATAGCCCGATTGTGTTCTCATCATTTTATTGACGAATCGTTCAAAAACATAAATGAATTCAAATGTGGATTCGCAAGGGGTTGTTCCTGAAGGAGGGCTCAGTAACGTACTTACCCAGTGTATATGGATCAGCTTCCTCCTTCGAATCACAAACTGTAAGTATTATTATTAATTGTTGCTTTTATGGGTTTTGAACGTTGCGTCGGGGCGCGAGGTGCGTGCGTATCTGTGCTTGTGTGTGTAAGTTACGCTCAGCGCAGCTTCTAGGTCTCCAATGATGTCAATTTTTTTTAAATATGTGAAATGTTTGTCGCTGTTATTGGAGTTGTCATAAAGAATAGAGCGTCTTGTAGTACTGCAGTGCTTTATCAATATGTTTATGCGTTATGCTAACAAACAATAGCTGACTGGGTCTGTCATCTGAGCAATCACCTTCGATTAGCGTCACGCAAAGGAGTGGTTTGGAAAAATGAGTCGTTGTTCGAATCATTTGGGAGTCGGTGAGCAAATCAGTTAAAACTAAATGCATGCATAAAACCTTGCATGCATGTTAAACTGTTTTTGGGAACTCCTAAAACAAAAATAGGAACATTTCAAATGCTATGATAGGGGCTCTTTAATTTTTGATATGTTTTAGCTTACCTCAAGGGCATCCAAGATGTAGGTGTCTTTGTTTCCACAGTATTTTCAATTTTGACATTTTTAGGTCAAACCGTTCTTGCCTGTCATTCATATAATGGAGATTTATGGGGTCCACCTCAAAGAACATGCACAGAGAAGTCTAAATTAAACATGATTTAATGACTCGTGAATGTAAGTACACATTGATGGCCTAAGACACGAAACGAGCGGTTTGTATGAGAAAACGAACAGCATTTATATCGTTTTTACCTCTTGTAATCACAGTCACGTCCAAGTACTCTGAGGGTGAGGGCACTTCTTTCTGCGCAAGCACCGGAAAGCCCCTGAAGTGATCTCTCGCCTGTGTACGTCACGCATTGTTTACACAGAGATTTGAGAAGTGTTATCTTTCACTGTGAAGATCTAAACATATTTAGATATAGAGGGTTTTCACGACGCGTCATCAATCTGGAAGTCGGCCATTTTGGAGGCACAGAACATAAACAATGCCACTAAACTGAACGGACTCTGAACGGACAAATTTGGCTGACTATTTCTGCTGAAAAATGGTCGAGTTTTGGTCTGTACTAATCAGTCGCATCGGGAAAATACCTTTCGAAGAGTGAGTGCAAAAAACTGATGAAAGAAGGCGTTTGTGGTTGAGAGAGGCACAGGATCAGCTCATCAGCCACATGTGTAAATGAAGCTTTGACTATGGCTACATTCACACTGTCAGTCCAAATTCGATTATCTTTGTATCCGATTGGAATTTGATCTAAAATGACGTCCACACTATTTGATCGCAACTCTTCAGATCCGATTTGTGAGTCTATGCAGCTCTCGGGCAATACGGCACTGACATTGACACTGATGGAGGGGTTTGCATTTGCAATAGTGATGTTTTCTTATTTAATTTTTACAACCCCCACGCTGGACTATCTTGCATATTGAGCTGCAGATCTGTTGGAAGCTGTTATGTAACGTTACAGCTTATTTCCGCGTTCTTCTCTGCGTCAGTTTCACATTTATACGTTTCAGAAATAATATTTTTCTGCTCGTCCGGCATTTTGCAACTACACAGCATTGTTTTTCGGCAGCGACTTTCAGCATGTCTCCTCTAACAACCACTGACGTTTACATTTTATGTGGCGTGAGAGTCACATACCACCCGAAATCCGATCGTTCAGACTGAAGTATATATCCTGGTATTTGAATAGGATTTCAAACCACATAAGGATGAAGCTTGAAACGGATTTCATGTGCTTTTCTGGGCTGACAATCTGAGCATAGCCTATGTCAGAATAAGAAATAGAAGGAAGAATTGCAGAGAAGCTAGAGAAGCTAACTTGTTTAGACCTTACCACATGTTAACTTTAGTTTGTCAAAATATTGCACTCTCACCTGCTTGATAAGTCCTTCTCTATATGATTTTGCACCTTCCACAGGCTTTTTCTGTTTTTTTTTTGTTGTTTTTTTTTTTTGTGTAAAAATATGTTCAGTAGTACATAAACAGTGCAGTCCATGCTGTTGTTTACATCCGAGTCCATAATGGCATCCGGGTTACCCCCCATGAATGTGACGTCGACCGAAGCGCCTGTGCCTTCAGATAACTTGGACGTGGCTGTGGTTACAAGAGGTAAAAACGATATAAATACTGTTCGTTTTCTCACACAAACCACCCATTTCGTGTCTTAGGCCATCAATGTGTACTTACATTAGTTATTAAATCATGTTTAATTTGGACTTCTCTGTGCATGCTCTTTGAGGTGGACACCATAAATCTCCATTATATGACTGACAGACAAAGAACGGTTTGACCTAAAAATATATACATTTAAAATTCTGTGGAAAAAAAGACTCCTACATCTTGGATGCCCTTGAGGTAAGCTAAAACATATCAAAAATGAATTTTAAAGTGAACCATCCCTTTAATACTATTTGAAAAAAAAGGACCATGAGAGCTTTCTAGCATTAAAGTTTGTCTTGACTGAGTTTTAATACATTTTTCCACAATACCTAAAGTTTTGCTTCTCACTACCAAGGTAAAACTTGTCGTACTGGGAGAAGGCCAGTTTCCCATCCCAGTCTGTCAACTCCAGTCTAAGAGTGTACTGCCTCTGATTGGTCAACTGGTACACCAACTCATTTCCCAACCAATGTTCTCCAGTCAGACTCCCAAAGCCCTGAAATACACAAACACACACATTTGTTTGATGATAGGAACTTTTGATTGACTTCTACTGTTTAAACACAATTTTGTGACAATTTGTGTATATTTCAGCACAGTCTCATCCCAAGACGTCATACAATTGATGCTTTTGACCATACGTCAACATCCGCCATTTTAGGGTACCCTTAAACGCCGGTTAGATGACGTTATCTAAACCTAACCCTACCCCAGACATAAACCTACCCCGTCACCTAATTGACGTTAAAGGTAAAGCGTCAGTCGGATGACGCCCCAGGATCGTCATCTAACTGACGTTAAAGGGTACCCTAAAACGGGGGATGTTGACGTATGGTCAAAAGCTTCAGTTGTATGACGTCTTGGGATGAGACTGCGTTATATATTTAGACAAATATTTTACAATTCAGAAAATTGATGAGGAATTGTATACGTATTTGTACAATCATACTAACAGCACCATTGCAGGTATGTTATGTTATGATCTGCTTACACCTATTAGGTTTGGGGGTCAACATTAACAGTGGTGCTTTACATACAAATAATGCTTTTTCACACAAGTTACATAATATGAACATTATGTGCGCGGTGCTCTGTAGTTTTTATTCAGTTCTGTCATGACAACTCTCCGGAGATTGGTACGGTAATGGAGATTGGCATGGTAATGATTACACAGTCTCATCCCAAGATGTCATATATTGTAACTGACGTTTTGGGACGTCTATTGACCATACGTCAACATCCGCCTTTTTAGGGTACCCTTAAATGTCGATTACATGACGATCCCGGGCCGTCATACTACTGACGCTTTACCTTTAACGTCAGTTAGGTGACGGGGTAGGTTTAGGGGTAGGTTTAGGTCTGGTGTAGGGTTAGGATCCGATAACGTCATCTAACCGACGTTTAAGGGTACCCTAAAAAGGCAGATGTTGATGAATGGTCAAAAGACCATATTTTTATAATTCTTAGAATATTTAGTTAGTGTTTGACAAATATATACAGTATATATATATATATACACCTAATAGGATTTGTTTTGAAACAGCTGCCGCATTGTATCATGGAGATATTACCGATAACAGGATCAGAATAGTGAAAATTGGCTTGCTCACACAACAGGAAAATCATGTCCTCTCGATGAGTCAAATCAAGATGGCAACTGCATCTGCCTCTTTGCGTGTGCCAGACCAGTTATGCCAGGCCTCGATCAGCATTGCTAATAAGTACAAACCAAACTTGTGATTTGTTCTTTCAATACCCTTTGCACATGCTGAACTGCACTGCTGGCTTGCTTTGTTCAAAAATGATGTTCCTTCATGATTTTAATAAGGCCTCGTTCATACTACCGCACACTATCAGAACTTGCATGTAACAAAATTTATTAGCAAAATTTCGATCATGCCTGATGAAGGTCGTGAGGCCGAAACGTTGCTAATAAATTTTGCATGCAAGTTCTGATAGTGTGCAGGAGTTCCTTGTTTGCAGATTGTCGACCGATCTTGTTTGGACGTTTTTTCCTACGCACCTATTATCTGCAGGTGTGCGATGGTTTTTTTGTTAATTGATTCAGAGTAATAAATCTAGAATCCAAGAACATTTATTGCCATTTCAGATGTGTCTTGATAAATTATTTGTTTCACTCCATAGGACTGCTTGTTACCATCTTATATTCTTCCCAGGTTCTGTGGAAGTCCAGCGTTCCATCTTTCCTCGATTGTATGATGGTCCAGCCCCCACCAGCACTATCCATGTTGCAATAAACCTAGTAGGATGAGATATAACAGGATAAGACAGCGGCTTCTGGCATTTATACTCCTCAAATTCAGAGATTTTATTTTCATAATTTTGAAAAGTGTATAAAAACCTGAGAGTAAGGCTGTGTGTCCACCAAAGCGTTTTTCCACGCGCCTGGCGTATGTTTTCAATTGTTTTCAATGGAAGTGCCGCATTTTTGAAACGCCATGTGCGTACCGAGGCGCTGAGCATTTTTTCACACTGAAGCGCCAAGCGCCCAGCATTTTTTACTGGTCGCTGGGAGTTGAAAAATGTTCGACTTTGGATAAAACGCAGCGCTCATCACTGTCACTTTTTACCCAGTCGTCCAATTGGCCGTCCAATCATTGCATTCACAGCCGTCCAATCCAATCCCAAGGGGCGGGACTAAACCACACTGACCAACTGTCACAACATTCTTTCTGTACAACGACATCAACCAATTGAGAAAACTGAACAAAATGGATGAAAAATAAATTTTTTGTATGAAACAAATTATCTGCGATATCAGTTACAAGTAAACTGTGCTGCGGATATTCTGTATCATAGCAACGAAACGTCTCAACGGAAAAAACGATGCGCTGCCAAAACGCTCTCAAGCGCCTAAAGCACGCGTCTAGCGTTTTCAGCTGGCTAAAAACGCTTTGTTGGACACACGGCCTAAGCATAGAAATGTATGGTTTTTATTTAAGGAAGATTGTGTTTTGAGTGGAAAATCGTTTGTGCACTAACAATGTAAAATTGAATGTGCACAATTTTCACAATTTTTAATGAACTTGTAACAAATTTTAGCCATTTGTTTTTACATAGTATATCACTCTTTCACTAATATGGGCACTGACCAGGTCAAATTTAATAATGGGCATGCCAGTGACAGCATTTGAGCTCAGAAATAAGTTACGAGGCCAGTGCAGGTGTAAGTTCTGGAGTGCAGCATTCACCCAGCTGTTACTCTGAGAGTTCAGCCAAGAGTATTTCCAGCTCTTGCTCTTCCTGAGTCAATACCTATTCCTACTCTGGTACATAGATATACTAAAAAAAACAAAAAACACAACACAATTTCTGGTTTATGTGTACGACTATGACTTGATTCAGTGTGTCATGGTTTATTTAGAGTACTGAATGCTCTACACTTTGGAAAAATTGCAAAACTTAACAGCCATTAATGTGTCTATGGCCTATTAATGAAAGTTTTTAGGGCTGTTAATTAAAACGGTAACACTTTACATTACAGGAAGTTACTATATAGTAATAACTATAAATTATGCATAATTGCATGCAACTAACCCTAAACCAAATTATATAAATTATACTTAAACGTATACTTACTGTAACAAGGACACCTTAAATTAAAGTGTAAGCATGAAACTTAACGTGTCATATCTTGAAGAAAAAAAAGAAATGCAAAGAAAACTAAAAACTTACTATGTTACTATGTTATACTGCTCAAACAAATCAAACAAATAGTAATTCTCAACCCAAACTTATGAGAAAAGTGACTATTTTAGGAGTTGCCATTTTGATTTTTAGGGAGGGAAAGTATTATGGTCAAACCCTAACATCTAAATCTAACTGGGAGTGGTTTGTAAGCAGGTCATACAAAAATATATGAATGAGATTCATACGAATTCGCCAATTCGCCAACTCTCAATGCCACAAGAGTGTGTTGGTAATGTTGAAAGTACCTCAAAAAAGTGGTCAGATTCTGAAAATGACAACAACAAATGGCTTATTTATAGTAGTCTCTGCACATTAAGGTAGGAGAAACTATTTTAAAATTAAATTAAATAAATACTCAGTTTACCTAGAAGGAAAAAAAGTTCTGTATAGGTACACATCCAACAACCCACGACAAATGCAACACTATTGGCCTCACTACTGTAGTTCTGTTATCAGATCCCATTTTGACTGACCTTATGCATGTCTTGCATGCCGATGTAGATGGTGTAAATTCCACTCCTGTTAAATCCAGCCCTGAAGAGTTCGGCACAGTCTCTGTACTTTATCACATCATCCATTTGTTTGAAAGCATTTGAACTGACTTCAAACAGGCATGGATAAAAAGTAAAGAATGTGTTAAAATTTTGCAGAGACAGAGAAAACAAACGGGTTTGTAAATAGGCAAGCGAACCAAACACAAATAACTGTCGTCATTGTCTTATGGATGTTAAAATTAGATGTTTGCTCAATTTAGTGTGGCTACCAACTGAATCTTAAAAGCTTTAAGTGAAAGAACGAATCTCTCTATATATGATTTGCTCTAACTGCTCAGTCTCTATATCAGTACATGGAGGTTGAAGAGGGACGTGAGAAGTGTGAGACTATGTTTCAGATCCAAGCAAAACTTGGCAGCAAAAGAGGTTATTTATGGTCTGCAAGAACCCTGATGTGGGTCAGTCAGATTTGAAGTCTACGTGATGTAAAGCAGACAGATTTAAAGAATTAAGCATGAGATGTGCCAAAACTGTCAATGCAAAACAATACTGAGTGTTTGTGATCTAATGAATGTTTATCTGAACATAGACTATGGATTAGGGCTTAATTTACACTAGTGCTTATATCTGAGCAGGGTAGATTGTGGTCTATGTACAATTCCAATAGAAAGTTAATGAAATATGACGATGACACATAGTGATCAGATATCTTATCAGATATTAACATGAGTATACATTCATTTGGTAGCATTTTGGAAAAAAAAATATTTTTAAACGATAGCATGGAGTCCTGCACATGACATGCAGAAAAAAAAAAAAGATATTGTGGCCATGAACTAAGAATTCATTCACATGATTTAATTTGTGGCCATCTTCTCCTAATTCATTCTCTTGTTTTAGTGAAATCGTGGCCACTTTGTACTGATTTGTTCCCTAATTTTAGTTTCCTTGGTCACATGGCCACAATGTTGGTAAATTAAAACAAGGGAACAAATTAACAAGTTGTGGGAACAAATTCTCAAATCATGGCCATGCTATCTTGTTTATTTCCCCTGAATGTCATGTGCAGTACTCTGTTTTATAGATATAAAATTCCAATTTGTTTCTCTAATGTGTGTACCTTCGTTCTTGGAGAACAGTTTCAACAGATCATTGATGGTACTATGCATTTGTAGTTGCTCTCGGTGGAGGGCGCTGTTGTATGTGACGACCTGCTCTAGATTGAGCTCCAAGCTCTGTATTGAAGAGCTCTGGGACGCCAGGAGTCTCTGAAGCTCTGTCTGCTCACCCTTTATCCAACCCAGTTCTGCATGGTGACGTGCCTCCATGTTAAGAATACGCTGCTCTAGAGTACTGAACACAAACGTGAATAGGACCGAGTTGCATTTGACAGTTACCAGGAAAAAAAGTAGAAAAGTGTCAAAAAAGGTGTCAGTGAAAAAATACCCTGTTTTGTCCCAAAGTTGGTTGATCTCACTGGTTTGCCAGAGGAGTTTGTTCTCAAGTTTGTTGGAGGACAGAGCGTTTTCCAGTGATTGAATCTCAAGTCTAGAAGTCTGTCTGAAAACCTGTGATATAATGACATACAGCATTTGATGTGTTTTAATGACAAATTGACTTTCCAGTTTCATAAATCCCTGTGCCCATTAATGCACTGTAAAAAAAAATACATAATGTAAACTCCCAAGTGATTCCCCAAGAATACTTATTAGCCAAAAATAAGTATATTTCAAGTTCATTTTATATAGTACACTTAAGTAATGTTCAAGTATATTTTTAAGTATACATAGTAAGTATACTAATGTCACTATGTACTAGTAGTAAACTTGTAAGTGTACTATTTTAATACCGCTTGGGACTAAATTGGCCCACTTTTAGTACATAAAAGTATAGTGTACTATAAGTGTAACAGTAAGTGCACAACTAGTTCATAATTATGTATCTCATGTGTACTGCAAGTGAATTTATGGGTATACTAGTAGTTTACTTTTTTACTGTAATACTTATACAAGTATACTTTGAACACTTAATTATACTTTTAAGTATTTCTGGATCAAAAGATTGAGTGCAAGAACATGACAAATATACTTGCTTTTCTCTCAGTATAAGTCAAGTACACTTAAGAGTAATTTGAAGTATATTTAATTTTTTTAAGTACATATAGTATACTTCTGAGAAGTACAGGAAAAATAAACTGAAAGTATACTTTCTTATTTTTAGCTTAAAAGAAGTATACTAATGGCACACTTGAATAAACTTCTTTTTCGTAAGGGATGTTGTGATGAATGTTGTTGGACGTTTTGGATATGCATTCACACCTGTGTCTCTGTGTCTGTTAGTCTCCTGATGTGTTGGGTGGACTGGGAAAGTAGCTTGGTGCCAAGATCCAGCATGGTTGTCATTTCATTATGTAGAGCAATATTCTGCAGGTGTGTTGTGTCTTTTGTCAGACTGTCCTTTACAAAGACCTCAATCTATATGTAAAAAAAAACACACATGCAAAGAGAAAGAATGAATAGGAGCATTCATTATTCATTGTGGTCTTTATATATGGTCACATATAATATATCTAAATACTTGCAGCTGTACTTTTGGGGGCAACTGTATGATATTGAATCAGCCTAGTATTGAGCAGCTACACACTCTGAATAATATTGTATTTATTATACTTCACTGTCAAATTTCTCAGTTTAAAGTGTGGGAACCATGATAGAAAAAAACAATGAGCAATCCTAATCGTAATTCCTCAAACACCCAGAGTATCATTAGTAATGTTTTTTTGTGAAATACTTTTTAAACATGAGGCCCTCTACCACATTTTTTGAGTGGGAATGGGGATACATACTCAATTGAACAATGAATATTTATCTATAAACTCAGTTAAACTAACAAAACATCTGCAAGAGTCTACTTGGACAAAATAGACAAAGTCTATTTGCAATCCCATGTTGGTGATAGAATATAGATGTGTTTGTTAGCTCTGGCAAACCCGTTCATGAAAACTAAGCTCTGTGTGCAGTGCTTATGCAGACAGTTCCACAATATGATGAGCTAAGTTCGGCTGGATCACTTATTTCAGTCTTGGCATTTCAATTTATCCCAAAAGTTCTGAATGAGTAAATGACTTGAATACACATCTTCTGAAAAGCATGATTCTAATTTCTTTATAAAAGCGAAACATACCAGGAAAAAGCAGGACATGATTTCACAGAGAGGAACCCTGAAGACCTAGCCTGGCTAACACCAGACCACATTATTGAGGTCTGGAAGGGTCACATCATTGAGAATGAGTCATGTCTGGAAACCACAGGTTCATTTTCTCATATTTGAGGTGTGGTTTACAAATGCCCAGAGCCGTATTGTTGGGTTCTACGAATGTCTATCAAATGCGCCTGTACGTAGCTCATAGCCAATCGGTTCAATGATACCAGATGATGTATGTAGAGCAACAGGAAATTAGACGATGAAGACGACGAAGACTTTTTTTTAACTACAAAGGCAGCTTGGGGAAACCCAGGCTACTGAAGACCCACATGAATGAGTGTCAATGTCAGCAAATCTCTAACAATATAAAATACTTTGACCTTTTTATGACAAGTCAAGGCTAGTAAAATGTATGTGGTTTAACTGATGATAAAAATGGACGTTTTTGAAATTACTTTCAAAACTTTTTAAATTGGAGTACCTGTTATTACTTTGCACTTGATGGTATTAACTTTGAAAATGGTATAAAGGATTTTCAAAACCAAATGCAACCAACATGAATAGACTTCGAAGATCTTTTCACATGTTATCATGGCTAAGTTCAATCATTTTTGATCTGACACATTAGCTGCGTCGCAATTGGCTACATGCTTTGAAGGCTGCATGACCCACAGTCAGTGTCTCGACGAAGGCTTTCTCAAATTGAAGGCTCCTTCGAATGTGGTCAACAAATTTGTCTTTGTTTCCCTGGGCCCTAAAGGATAGAACTTGTGGATCCTTCACAGCCTAGTCTATCCCAAGACTCATTGTGCAGTGGTGACTGTTTTTATTTTAGTTTGATGGAGTTTGTTTAGTTTGTTTATTTTAAAATGCTGGATTACACTTTTAAATGTAAGTATTGAGTTTCGACTTACTCAAATATCTAACTATAACCATAAAAATACCATAATGTGTTTATTAACTACGTTCACACACTCGTTTCTCTCAAAAATACTTCTACAGCCATTTATTTTACTTATTATTTTAAACGTTCTGTGTTGTCTGTCGGTTTTTGTTTTAGTCTGTGTGATTTCTCCCACTGCCAGTTCACCCAATAGTATTTCGACACCCCGGGATGCCATTTGGCCGGAAACACATGCTGCGTCCCAATTCGCTTACTTATACTACGCCCTAAAAGTATGTACTCTTTTTGTGAGGAAAAAGTACATACTTTTCAGTGTGTAGCAAAAGAGTAGGCAAGCTTTGGGACGTACTATCACGTCATCTTTAACGGACAGCTCTGTCGCATGCTGCGTGCATCCTGTCACCATAAACTGTTAAAATCCTCCATTCTATATCTAATTTTATTTCCTACCGTTTCGGAGAGCACATCCATCTGCCAGTTGTGGGTCTTTCATGCTCTTCTCGTGTTTGCAATTTGAATATAATGATGCATTTAAAATAGCTAAACGTGTCTTTACAAAAGTTCACAATGCTGCTGCAAATGCAATATAATGTGGACAACATTTAATAAATTCATTTTCGTCAGGTTAGATACTGATAATTAATCACTCAAAGCTCTTTATCTAAACCTCTCTACACAACCGCGGGGACTCGCGCGTCCTCCATATCGACTACGTGTCTGTAGTTTTTTAACACTTTTTACTCGTGTTTGTATTTCTAACCGAATCCTCGTCCAACGCGCAATGGTTTGTGGTCAATATCAGCCGTTAGAGTGTGCATCGATCTACACTTCGGATTCTGACCGGAAAAAGTAGACCATCCGGGTATCTTTGAAACACTCATTTCAACATACTACGATTTGGGACGTACTAATTCTATTTTCGAATACTATTTAGGACGGATAGTATGCGAATTGGGACGCTGGGATCGCTTATCACAGTCTTGGAAACGAGCAAACAAACTAGGTCTCAAATTGCAGATTCCACACAACCTAAAAAGCCTCGATATCCATCTAAAAATCTCAGTGAACGAGAGCATGTTAAAAAGTGGATACATTTTCTAATTTTCTCATTTCGTGAATACATACTGTTGCTTTTCTACACTCCCTTCATCTTCTGAACACTGCACCAACACATGATTTGAATTAGAAAAAGAACTGTGATCACTCTTTTACACATAATTGACCCAAATGAGGGTCAGTTCATGCATGGCAGTCAAATTTTTCCATACAAGATTCAATAAACTATTTCATTATGAACCTTGCTTGTTGCTTTGTGTACAGTGTAGGGACAGAAAAAGGTGCAATTCAATCTACTTAAAAATGTGCTTGATTTTGTGCACCTGCTAGTAAACACTTATCAGTTACGAACGGAACATTTACAAATGCAATGACCTTATAACACTTCTGCTTACTGTTAGTCTTCCATCACAAAGATAATTTGAACACATCCCACAGAGTACAGCTACAGTACTGGTACATTCTCTGGGTTCCTTATCAGCAGCACTATACAGTGTTTACGGGAAGAGATATTTTCAGCTGCTCTCAGAGAGATACAGTCCAAGATGTATAAATACTCACTGCATTGAAGTGATAGCTTTATGTCCTCTGGGCCTGGAGTGTATAACACTCAGCTGAAGTGTTGTAACAGGATGTGTTTATCTAGTGCCCAGCATCCTAAGATTGTTCTAGCTGGAACAAATAGCCAAAGGCAGGGATTAAACAGGTCTCAATCTTCTTTCAGAGCATTTCAGTGGTTAGAGAGCAGGGGCTGTGGTGAGCAGATGGTGAGGACAAGAACACTTTTCAATGGGCCACAAAGGTAATCTAGACTCACTCAGATGCATTAGTGTATCATCTGAGGTAAATCATCTCAAAGATAGAGTTCTGAGGTGAGATGATGCAGATGGAAATTATTTTTTAAAGATTTTTAAAAACTTCTGTGGATGTAACGGGGTCGATGTAGAAGTTTGAGGTGTTTGATGATTGAGATGTAGGATGTAATTGAGTAGTTGATTAGTTCGACCAGTTGTAGAGTTGAACATTTGAACATGATACCGAGCGGAGGGACTGAGAGAGCTCCGTGCTAATAGTTAGTGATGGACTAGGGACACAGAAATGGATGACTAATGTAAGTGCCAAAATGATCCACGGCATGACAAGACGAGATGAAAGTCTTGGTCACTCGCATCTGGTGGAGGTTGCCTGTGAGAAAGAGGTGGGCAATAGTCCGGTCAAGGTGTCCAAGCGGCTTTGAGAACCAGCCTGATTTTATCCTCTGATTTGAATGCTCTGTTTGAAGGGGCTTGTCTGCTGTGGGATTCAGTGTAACCAGCCACTGCTGTGATTGGCTGACGTGCTTGCATGTGTAATACCAACGTATTATATGTGAAACTCTCCTGAATACTTTTACTATATGTTTTTACTATTACAGCTATCGAGATTAACGAATCCCCAGAAGTTTTTAAAGTATTTAGAATCTATCCCATCACATAAAATGTTCCCGTGATGAGCATTGAGCAAGCAGATCGCAGTGTGTTGATCGCGAGAATGAAAATCTTATCATTGCAACGCAGTTTCTGCACTCTCTCAAATGCTTTCACCAATGCAAACATGATGATGTAAATACAGTAAGATGATGTAAATACAGTTCCATCGTTGTGCAGTGTAGTGCGTCATTGATTTCATAACGAGTTATAAACCAGATAAAGACCAGTCCAGATAAACTCGCACTGTGTGGAAAGATTGTTCTTTGATCGGTTTCTGTAGCCTATATAATTTGTTCACAATTTAAATAAGATTATTTTCATACTACTAAAGAAATTATGTGAAGTTGATATTTTAGTCACTGGCTTGACTTACTGATGCATTAACAGTATTGAACGATTATTCTGAGAGAAAGATTACGTTAACAATTAGGCTACACATCAGAAATTGTTGCTTGGTAGCTCGATCGATTTATTTTCAGACGTTCAAGTTGAGGAAACAGTCTTCGGTGAAATGTTTGGAACATACAAAACTTACGGCGCATTTCCAGAGAAAATAAAATTAACCCAATGTTTCTTGGCTCAGATGAAGGGACTAAAAAAATACTTTTGTGTTCATTTGTACATCCGAATACTGATTAACTGCCATGTTTCGCTTGTTTGCAAGCCATGATAATCTCTCGCGGAAAAACTCAAAATCAAAACGCGCTCGTGCGTTTGTACTGTAGCTTATTTTCTCATGGGCAGAGAAAGGGGAGGTTAACTTTCCTCCGTATCATATCAGGGGAAATTCAAGATCAGCACGTCTGAGCTTTCATTTTCTCAACGGCAGACAGAGATAGCCAAAGCTCGGATTACACCAAAATTTTTAGCCACTGAGAGACCATATACAGGCTAGGGGAACTCATATTAATGACAAAAAAAAAAAGAAAATTTTATGTCAGGGGACCTTTAATAATAATAATAATAATAATCTGAAGAACCTTTTTACACTAAAACAAACCGTTTGTGCAATAGAAAGATTACATGAAAAGGTCTTCATGAAACAATAGATGCTAATGATGAATCTTTATTTTTAAGAGTGTGTGATCCATTCACTCTCCTCTCGCAGAACATTAAACAACATGTTGACTTACCTTTTGGAGCCAGCGGGTGCAATTTTCCATGGCAAGCTCCAGGTGTCGGATCCGGCGGTTTAAGTCGCTTTGCTTCCCCTGAGGAGATTCTTTCTGCACACTGTTACCTTCATAATTGCCATCATGCTTTTCTGGCCAGCTACCAGTTCTGCTCTCCTCAGGTTCTGGCAGTATGAAGGTATAGCTACATTCTCCATGCTGAACCGAGTTTAAATGCTGACTACTGCCACCAGAAACATCTGTTAATTTGTCCACAGGTGAATCTTCAAGGCTTGATGTCCTCACCAGCAATAGAGTCAGATGCAGAAGAACAGTGATCTTCATCTTTATAGTAAAGCAGGTACAGACTGCCAAAACTCCTTTTATGGATTAAGTGAATGATCATCTCTAAATAAATGCATTTAGGAAAGGTCCATCTTGAGATACATGGAAGACATTTTTTCCAGACTCTATTCCTGTAAATGAATTTACCATTAATACACCAATCCTCTGTCCTGCTCCAGAAGTAGAACAAGTGATTGCCACCTCTGCCTCCACCTCTGTGAGTGTGTGTGAGAGAGTGAACAGCAGGTTTTGTAGACTGTGTGTTCAGAAAAGACGGCTGGTCAGCGTATGTGTTTTAAAGGGGTCTGAGTGTTGTAAGAGTAAACTGCTGGCAGACTGTGAAAGAATGTGTGTGTGTGTGTGTGTATACCATGGTATGTCCTATGTTATGGGGACCAAATGTATCCACAAGTAATACCAGTAAATGCTGACCTTATGGGGACATCTTTGGTCCCCTTGAGGAAAAGCCCACAAATCATACTAAATGTTTTGAAAATCTAAAACTTCATAAAGTTTTCTGTGATATGCATATGTATCCTACAGTAGGTTAAGGGGTATTGTTAGTGTAGCTAGATGGAATATACAAAGTACATAAATAAATATACATACAATCATTACGTCTATAAAACGTGAAAAACCCTGATCCCTCAAATTAACAGCTTTTTCTTAAACAATGTTTTACAATATATAATACTATAGCAACTTTTATTTATTTGTCATTATTCATAAGCCGCGTTTCCACTGCAGGAACTTTGCCCAGGAACTAACTTTGGGGTGGTACTCGGTTTGTTAACACCGCAGGAACCAGGGTCTAAATGAAGTTTCAGGTAAAAATCCCCTGTCCCTTCTGCCGAGGTAGTACTTTTTCAGAGTTCGGGAACTTTCGGGGTGGGACTTGTGCGATGAACAAACTGATTGGTTCTTACCACTTGTTGTTCTATCTGCCCGATGGCGCGCGTTCATCCCATCCATCTCACGGTCAATTTCCGCTGATAACAAACGTTTAAAATACGCTTTGGGTGCTCGTCTGTTTTCTGCTGTTTTGTTAATTACCTCGTTAGTAAACCAATCGCACACAAAAGCAGCACAGCTTGAATCTCCTCCATATACAAATTTCAAAACGCACTCCAAACTCAAAACAAACACACAGACTGGGAGGAGCAGTCGCACACAGTTGAACGTCACTACATAATCTTCCCGCCCAGGACCAGTACTTTAGTCCGCGGTGTAAACGCAGTAAGCAAGCGGTCTGGGGCAAAAAAAAAGTTCCTATGAAAAAAGTTCCTGGTAATTGCGGTGGAAATGCAGCTATTGTAAATCATTCAAATGGAATCTTAAACATTATTATACATAAACATCATTATATAAATAGAGCTTTTTGTCAATACAGTTTTTGGGTTTTGTTTTAATGTCAGTAAAAAGCAAGGGTTTTACATTTCTGTAAATTATGAGAATAATCTCATGAACTACTGTATAAAATTATTTTCCGATAAATAATTGCTCTACAGGGATGTTTCCTTAATTATTAAACTTTAATGTATCATTGGTGGCATGCCCAGTATAATTAATAATTATTTGAGAACTTTTTTTTTATTTCAATTACATGTTTCCTGTTCTTTGACCTATGAAGCAAAATAAAGACACATTTGGAAAACAATCAAAACTGTAATTATGTATTAAAGGGCTAGTTCACCCAAAAATTAAAATTACCCCATGATTTACTCACCCTCAAGCCATCTTACAGTATGAGAATATGACATTCTTATTCCAGATGAATACAATTGGAGTTATATTAAAAAAATCTCCTGGCTCTGTTAGGGTTCTGCCCTGGCAGCCTTGTCTGTTTTGTTGTGGTTTCATGTTTCTGTTTGTTTTGTGTTTGAGCACATGGCTCTGTCTTGGTCTGTGTTTCCCATGTGCTCCTCAAGTCCCGCCTCCTTATTTCCTTTTACCACGCCCCATTTTTTTAGTCCACGTCTTGACCTCGTTTCACTAATAGGCCTATTTCACAAAAAAGACCACCGACACTGGAAGTAGGGTAAACTCTTTTCTGGTGAAAGCGCTAGCACTTGCAGTGTGAGAACAAATGCGGAGATTAAAAGTGGTCAGCCTTGTTGCTTACCTTTTTATGTTTCAACCCAAAGAAGAAACAACCCTGTTTATCACTTCACAGCTTTTCGTGTTTTGCGGGTTTTCATGGAACAACTGGCAAGAAGTTAAATCACGCCAGACGCACGTGAAAGAGGAAGCAGATGTTGAAATGGAGTGTTGATGTCGAGGTTCCAGTCCAGGATTTGATCACATCTCCCTAAGGAGGGTGAACACCTCGTCCTTCCGACCTATTCAAACTAAAATTAAAACATGTATTATACTATTTGAGAAATGTAAGCATATTTACGGCCTTAAAATAATGAAAAGGGTAATTTAAAACCTAAGGACAGGGGGAAACCAACCAGAGCCCGCTCCAGTCCGTCCAGAGCCCGCTCCAGTCCGTCCAGTATTTATCCTTCCAGCCATAAAGGATGTTTCTAAGTTCATGGTTCTGCCCTGGCAGCCTTGTCTGTTTTGTTGTGGTTTCATGTTTCTGTGTTTGTTTTGTGTTTAAGCACATGGCTCTGTGTTTGTCTGTTTTTTACATTTGCTCCTCATGTCCCGCCTCCTTGTTTTGTTACCACGCCCCCTTTCAGTCCATGTCTTATCCTCGTTTCACTAATTGTGCTCACATATTCCTCATGTTCTCTGGTCCATTCATATTGTGCCTCTTTCCCTCATGTCTCTGCTGGTTCGTCCTGTGTACTTTGTGGGTTACGCCTGTCCATCTTCTTCCGCTTATCCGGGGCCAGGTCGCGGGGGCAGCAGTCTAAGCAGAGATGCCCAGACTTCCCTCTCTTCCCTCTCCCTAGACACTTCCTCCAGCTCCTCCGGGGGGACATCGAGGTGTTCCCAGGCCAGCCGGGAGACATACAGTAGTCTCTCCAGCGTGTCCTAGGTCTTCCCCGGGGTCTCCTCCCAGTGGGACATGCCCAGAACACCTCCCCAGGGAGGCGTCCAGGAGGCATCCGGAACAGATGCCCGAGCCACCTCAGCTGACCCCTCTCAATGTGGAGGAGCAGCGGCTCTACTCTGAGCTCCTCCCGAGTGACTGAGCTTCTCACCCTATCTCTAAGGGATCGCCCAGCCACCCTGCTGAGAAAGCTAATTTCGGCCGCCGGGTTACGCCCGTGTGTATGGTTCATCCTAGTCCTTGTTGTAATATTGACCTTTCCAGCTCTAGTGTATCATTTTGCCTTTTCCCTTGTCTTGTTCTAGTTAGTATTAGTCTATTGTTTTTTTCTTTTGATTTAATTTATATTCTAGATTAAAAATTAAGATTAGATTAGATAAAAGTTTAAAAAGAAAACTCGCACTCACTGTTTCTCCACTGCAAGCTTTATATAGAATGGAGAAATCCCGTGAGCTCTCCCCGTAGTGTTCACGCAGACCAGAACAACCGATCGTCAAATCCATCGTGCCAACTAACTGATCACAGATCAACTGATCACAGATAAACAAAGAACAACTCCAAAACTATACATTTATACTTTATAGACTTTTCTACATCACGTGTACACAGACTTATGCATTTTTAAAGTACACAGACTTCTTTGTTCACTCTGTCACACACTCCCCTACAAAATAAATGTCATCTCGACATTCTCTTTAAAGAGTCTCTCAGTTCCTTTTGTAAGTCACAAAAAAAATTATATTCAATCTTTTCACAGTCCATAACTCATCCCAAACGTAATAGTTCACTTTATGGAGAAAATCAAGAGTTTATCAGAAAGAACAGTCCATAAGCGTATCAAAGTGCAAAATTTGTAAAGAGGCATGAGACAAAAGTCCATATTTCCTTTAGATTTCAAGAGTTCAACAGCCTCTCAAGCCTACAGTCCATAAGGCAAAATGTCTTTTTTTTTTTGCTCAACATTTCAAAGTTCAAAACTGTTAAAGGCAGTATTCCTCAAACAAAACAGTCCATCATTTTCTCAAAGTGCCAGACTGTAACAGTCCATAATGCAAAGAGTCTTCTGGTTTCAAGCTCACAATCTCATATGGACTCTATACATCAATGGCAACTGGTATCAATATTGCTGAACAGGTGGCACCCAAGTCGACAGACATTGTGCAGGCATGTAAAGTAAGTTCGGTTGTGGTGCTTGCAAAACCCCATTTAGTTGCTTGACATCATAAGACGGTGTACCAAGTTCATCATAGGTTAGTACTCTTGGTGGGTATCTTTCCCTTTTAGGCAGCTGGTAATTTTGCTCTCTTTCACTCCCCTGATCACTTTCAGCAGGCGACATGGGAGCAGAAACTTGTTCACCCGCAGGTGAGTTAAACTCTTGTCCTGCACTGTCGATCTTCGCAGGTGGCTCTTGTTCCTCTTGGTCACTCTCCACAGAAGACATGGGCTCAGGAACCTGTTCCAGGACCTCATTCGGATGTTCATCGGACTCTGAGGTAAGTAGTGGTTAAATGTTTTCAGGTTCAACAACATAGTCTGATTGAAGTACTTGTGGAGACACATAATGAAAGTTCACTTCATATTCACTCCCCTCATCAGACTCTATATCACTACTTTGAAGCTTTTTCAACTGTCTGGGTTTTGGATGCGGAGAAGTTTCGAGAGGTAGGCTGTCACAAGGCATTAATAAATTGCGACGGAGGACTCTGGACCTTCATCTGCAGCGGTTTTACCTCATTTGGAAGTAGTGGCGTATGCTTGGGCGAATTGGGTGAAATGGTCC